TTATAGCATGGCTAGATAACGAGGAAAAGAAGGAGCAAGATGAGTATAATATGCTTGAATCAGAGTTTATTAGGAATAGGAATAGGAATACTGAGAATAGGAGTAGGGATATATGGGCTAGACTTGAGGAGGAGTATGCGCGAGACTCGGAGCGATATATATTGTAGGATTTATTGTATGTTATTTTGTTAAGCATGTATTAATTATAGGTATAAGTAGAGTGTTCGTGGATGGTGGGGGGGCGTGAAAACCCGCGCTTAGTCAGCTCTAAACTGACGCCGGGGCGTCAGTGTATTGGGACCCACAGCCAGTGCCATACCCAGGGGCTGACCCCTTACATAGTATATCCCCTCAACGATATATACCTTTGTACAGCTGGCATTTTTGGTTTGCGATATCCACTTTTAGTCTTGGTCCTCAACGATAGTAGTACTTGGTTGGTGCGGATTAAGTCGGGCTAATCCCCGTAGCGCGTCTAGGTATTATTCCGATCGCTCCGACCGCTCAAATAGGAAATCGCAAACCTAAAATGCCAGGTGTACATATATATCGTTGAGGGGATAGTAGTATATAGTAGTGTTTATATATAGAGCGGGATAAGGGAGTTGAGGATGTGTACTCGTTAGAACGTGAAAAAGCTGTATCACCATTTTGTATGGTACACTCAGGAGAGAAGCCAGATTAGTGTATTCGGAGTAGTAAATGTTTTGTATTCGATGTACGAGCCAAATGGGTTCAGAACTCAATACGATAGAGGTCTTACCCTGTACATTACTACTGTCCTTCCCTACTTACTGTATTGCACTGGAAAGTCTCATGCCATCCTACTGCATTTTAAAGTTTTTTGCATGGGATGAAGTATTGTATACTTTGAGCTAAACAGAGTATAGATCCGAGTTATGCCGAGAAAACCGGTAACTTACGTGTAGGACGTCATCTGTTATATAAGGGACGACCTTTTCAACTGCAAGAGAAAGAGATCTGTCTACAGCTCAGTCCAACCTCACCATACTACCAGTCTAACAGACTTCACCAATATAACAACGACCAAGAGAGAAGCATCATCGTCTACCTCTTCGTCCAATCTTATTGATTGTTTGTTCTTCTCGAACAATATACTAATACACCAACAATCCTCCGATCTTCAAAGTCAACTCCGTACTCGACAATATGTTCGTCTCCAAGCATATGATCACAGTTCTCACCATCTTGCTCGTGGGGGCTGTACAAGTCCACGCCAGAATAAATTGCAATTGGGCTGCCAGAACGCGGGGTTGTCGCAATGGAAGATTCGAGTGTGGTGGAAATCCCATTGAGGAAACACTTATATGCTGTGACCAATGTTAGAGGGTATCTTACACTGGATTGAACCCTGGGTTTGGAGGGAGTCTTTAGTTGGGAGGAGAGGATTTGGATGGGGATTGTATAGGAAAAGTTGTGCAGCTGCTGGTTATTGTAACGAATACTCAAACTGGCTAACTAAACTTGGCTGGGTGTTCGCTGGTTGGTATGCTATGATAAGATGAAGACTATCGGGTTGTTCACTTGGAAGTGAACTCGTTACTTGTATCAAAGATGTCAAACTAATATGATAAGATTGATAACTAAGTTGAGCACGAAGCTCCTATCTAATGGCAGACGTGCCAGTCTTATATAGAACCTTCGTTCTCTGCTAGATCGCGAACATCGCTTTCGTCGCTCGCGACTTGGGCGATACAGGCGATCATGATCACGTGACTCTTCCTATACTAAGAAATCCCTGGATCGCTTAGCTAGCCTAAGCATCCCTATTTGCTATAAGAGATATGATAGTGCTTAACCTGTCAGGGCGCCGCCTGGTCTTCACTCGTCACGTGCTCACACGTGATTCGTGACAGTTATCTTGTTTGTTTGGAAGGATAGATGGATGGGGTAGGGTGGTATTTGATCGTTCTCTTTTGGGGGGAAAGGGGGGGTAGTGTGGTTTTCTTTATATGATATCGATAAACGCACGTGTATTCTGCTCATGCATCGAAATATA